GGACCTCGGAATGATCGTAACCGATGGTTAGAGACACAGCGATATGGCTGGGTGTCGTAANGGCGTTCTTGCATCTTCTCAATTTCTTTGCAACCTTACACCACTGAACTTCTCCATTTTCTGTTTGACTCCACTTCCAACTTTCCTTTATTCTTCTATTCTTCATCCAAATGGGCAGCCAAAAGACAGCGACCAAAACCGGCGCACGAAAGTGCATGATTAGTGGTTGTTCAAACTGAAACTGAAACATTCGTCAGCCAAGTAGGAGAAGCAATCCTCTCTTATTCCTGACCTTCTCCTACCAGACCCAGGGTAGGAGACACTGAGTTTCTCAGCATCTTTGTATTTGTAAATCGCAAGACGCATACAAAATGGAGTTACAGGACTTGTTAGTTTGTCCTCCCTGCATTCGAACAAGCAAACTGTCGTCAGCGTACTCGAAATCGCAGTTGCCCATTAAGTAACAAAATTTTGGAGACCAATTGGTGCATTCTCCAGTATTTGGTTCACAACAAAGTTGAATAGGAATGACGAAGTAGGGCATCTTTGGCGAACACTGCTACTGGTTTCGAGCGAGTCCTACTTCAGAGCGACCAGAAACAATCAACTATCTTTGGAAAGATGGAGGTAAACTTAATAACTTACATTCGCGTCCCTTGAATGATAATGAATACGTTTCTTAAACAGAAGAGATGTACACAGCCTATATACGCGTCAATGTGTGCACGTTTAGTATTACTAAATTGAAGGGCTTGCCGGTATGGCTATGGTTTCGAACCGTTAGATTTACTGATGCCCTGAGATCATAAATTGTTCTTACGGCGGGTTAGGCTAAATGAGTTTAATAACACGCGGCGTATTGAATCGACGTGATTCATGCTTGAGTTTCATGTAGTTCGGTCCTCAGGATTCTATTTCTTCGGTCGACACTAGTTTCCGTATTCACGGGCCTCATGCTGAGGTCAGGCGAAAAGTTTTAGGCATCCGCGGTCGCCCACTGGAGCAAGTGATCAACCTCCATAGATTACGTTGGTTGGGGCATGTGTTACGCATGTTGCCACGGCGAGCGATGTTTGCTGAGGCAGGTAATGGGTTGAATAAAGCCCAGGGTAGTCATACTAAGACCTGGCATGAGGCTATGAAAACCCTAACCAAAAGACTCGGTCACATAAGTCCCCTCATACTCCCTCGATGGGGACCTCGGGATGGTCGTACCCGATGGTTAGAGACACTGAGTGATACGGCTGGGTGTTGTAAACGGTGTTGTTTGTGCATCTTCGCAGTTTCTCTGTATCATTAGTCTACCGAATTTTTCAATTTTCTCTTCGATCCTACTTTCAATTTTCCCTGTCTTTCTCCTAATGTTCATCCACATGGGCAGCCGAAAAATAGCAACCAAAACGGGCGCACGATAGTTCATGGCTAATGGTTGTACAAACTGAAACTGGGCCTCATTCCTTCCGCTGTCTGTCACACTGAGGTGTAACAGGACAATATTTGTTGTTCATTTCATCCTCTCATTCCCCCATGGGTGCTGCGTATTGTTTCCTTTAACTGTGTGCATACTGTCATCAATATAAGACCAGTTTTGGGAATTGATAAAAAGAAAAATGTTAGCGATTCGAAATGTGGTCAGTGGGAAATTTCAAGGAAAATGAAAGAATATCAGATAAAGTAAATGCGGAGTGAGGCGTTTGTGCATTGCGGTTATCACGACAGTATTATTTTTTCACAAATGGGACTGAACTTTAAACGTTATTCTAATTACAGCCTCAGAAAACTAGGGCAGAGGTTTAGAAAAGCAGGATGAGTCCATGTCTTGGTAATGTAGTGGTCGTTAGGCCGTAGGTGCAAGTGTGTATTTGGACGATTGCATAATTTAGCACCACGCGAAACAATAAACGTCGGGCGAGTTTGTCGTTTTTGTTTGCGGGTTATTTCCTATGAGAGGTCTTTATTCGTTTGTTCCTAAGCATCGTATCTTTTTTTTTAATCTAATCTAGCATAACTGTAAACGGCTAAAGTAATCCAGTTTGTCTGTTATTATTACAGTTTGGAATTCGGTATTTTTAAACCGGAAGCGCCGGACTGTTTGGAACGCCGAAAGCTCCTAGAAAAGGTAAGTTATTTTGATCGGGATTCACTACTATAATCTTTTCTGCAGGCTATATTGTACTTTGATAGCATTATTGCGCAAACCGTCTTGGAAATCGAAAAAGAACGCGCAACAGAGGAATCAGAAGCCCTTGCTGATTTGGAGTTTAAAGTTCACGATGAAGATGAGATAAATGAGGTTCGGCATCGCATCTACGAAGACTACGTAGATCGTTTAAATAAAATCATCGAACCGAAAATCTATTTATACCTCGGTCATTTCCAACTGCTTTTGCATCAATTCGATGATGCTCTTTCGGCTTATCTAAAATACGAGTCACTGGGTCAGTCAGAGGCAGAGAAAAACTGCATTTTCTTATACGGTCTGGGATTGTGCACTTTTCGGTTCAACGCTTTTCACCGGTAATTCGTTCAGTGATGTTTGTACCCTTATTTCCTATTTAGGGCTGAGCGGCTTTTTCAGCGCATTTTGTACTTGCAACCCTGGTTCCCTAGAGCGAAGGAAATTCACATTCGTCTTGGCTACATCTACAAGTTACAGCGCCAATTCGAACACAGCCTGAAGCATTTTCGACAGGCTTTAAACGACTCTACTCCCGCCACATTCACGCGTATAGAAAGTGAGATCCACCTGTGATTCGTGGAATTAATCCGTTCCTTTCCACCCTTGTAGTTCGATTTCATATTGCGCACTTATTCGAAGTTTGCGGTAAACCGAAACAAGCTAAAGCGGAGTATCGTCAGCTACTTGACTCAGAAAAGAACAACGCTCCACCTCATATACGTCATTTGTGCTTGCGACAACTCGGTGAGTCGCTTAATCGTCTAGATTGTTTACCTATTTCTGAACGGTTTCTAATTGTACTTTTCGCGTTCTTTTACACAAAACCATCAAAATTTCCGCTTTATTTTCCGTTTCACAGCTTGGCTTCATCATACAGGAGCTGGCGGAGTGAAGGGCGATCCAAGTGTCGAAAAAGGTTTAGATGTGAAGTGGCTTCAAAGCGCTTTGGAGTTGGACAACACCAACGGCAAGACTTGGTACTTACTGGGTCGTTGCCAGGCTGCTCTCAATCGTGTGCAAGAAGCATTTGCTGCTTATCGTAGTTCCATTGACAAAACGGAGGCCAGCGCAGATACCTGGTCAGTTTACAAATAGTGAAAGTGGTTCGTAACTATTTTCCTGCCGACATTTTTACAGGACACCTGGTAGTCTCTAAAATAATAGACTATGGCCATTCTCTTTAGTTTTGCTGATGTTATGTAGAATTTCGGGGTGCATGTTCTTAAAAGAAAACCTATTGTTTTTTATGAAAGAATTCCCGGTGATCCTTGAGGTTGTATGGGACCAATGAACATGTGAAATTTCGTGAATTTTTTCATCTGAAACGGCTCTTTGGTGGTATACAGTAGCCTCGGGAATCCCGTGAATTTCATGTTTAACTGAAAATACGGTGGGTTCTTGATCCAAATCCCTTTGCAGACCGGTTTTCATTTCCCCTCGGTTCAACTTTTAGATGTGATGCCAGAATTCTCTCGTCTGGTGTTTTATTTTCGGTTATCTCTGTTTGTCTTTCATAGGTGCTCCATAGGTGTGCTCTATCAAGAGCAGAGTCAACCTATGGATGCATTGCAAGCTTACTTCTGCGCTGTTCAACTAGACAAGTGTCATGTGGCTGCATGGGCCAACTTAGGCACACTGTACGAAACAATGCAACAATACAAGGAAGCGCTCAAATGCTATAAAAACGCGGTGAATGCAGATAAAAACGGAGAGGTGAGTATTGCATTTAGGGGTTCAGTTGGTTTCAAGTGGTTTATATATTTGTACTTTGTCCTTCCTTGAACGGACGGTCGATCGTGTTTTCTCTGTCCCTTGTCTTTGGTGGTGCATGTTCAACATGTATTGCGTTACCAGGAGAGGTTCAATTTTGCATGGTGTCATTCGCCGCAATGTTTATCGGGCACGTTCATAAGCTTGGACGCTAGTGACGAAGAAAGTCGTTTGGTTACGCCCCTTTCACATGATCTGCTGGGGATGAAAACAGAGCCAAAGATGGGCTAGAAATACCTAACTTTTGGTTCGAATGTTCAGGTGAACTGTAAATGATACGCAACTACTATTGGCTTATGTCTTAGTTGCGGGAATCTGCCTGTATATCTGATAAAGTGGAGAAAAGTGCAATAAAGGAGAATGATAAAGGTGAACTTTGAATACTTCGATGTCCCTTTTTCCATTGAGAAAATTTCCCACAAGAACAGTAACGCGACTGTTTGGTGTTCCGTATTCCGTTCCATCACAACGACACTAAGTATTGACGTTGTGTGGTAAATAAAACGCTTCCATGACCCGGGGACAGCTTTTACGATCATGCCTGAAATCACGCTTGAAAAATCAATCGGTAGGGACCGAAAAAAGTTGTTTCGCAAGACCAGATAATCGGGTATCAGTTAACTTTTTCCTTGACCTGTTACTTTCACTCCTGAAGATATCAACCCGGCAAAGAAACACGGCTAGAAGTTTACGGGCTTAAAATCCCCTTATCATGCACAGGAGAGTGGTTTCTGGGGCTTCCTCCCGACGATGGAAGAATTATTCGTACTTTGTTAAATGGCTGCCGTCCATCCAAACTGGTCATCCCGCAACCAATTATATACTGTTCCGTCCGCATCCCACCTATCTCATTGGGCGCATGGGGTTCAGGGCTGATCCCGAACGGAGAACCGCTAACTAACTAACTCACCGGTGAAACCGGGTCATGATACGTCTTTAGAAGCCCCCATACAGTTGCTTCGGTTACGTCTCTGCATTGGGTCTATGTCCCGATAGCCCTTGGAACAGACAAGTGCTTCTGTTCGTTAAGAAATTTCCTATTGCTTTGTTCGTCAGGTTTTTCAGCTTAAACCTACGACCAGGATTCCGAAGATCTTTCTCTTCGTCAGTGAGGACGAAATATGACTCACCCTAAAGTCCCAGACACCAATTTTGGAAACCGTCTTTCTCTTATACACACACACATATATATATATATATTTCGTCGAAATACTGGAGAACACGTCAAGTGGTCTCCAAAATGTAGGTATTGAATGGGCTGCTGGAGAAAAGCTGTGCGATTTAGAGTACGCTGACGACATCGTTTGCTTGTTCGAATGTATGAAGGATGCACAAAGAGCACTTGACAGATAAGCAAGTTCTGTTGCTCCGTTCGGCACCTTCAAAGTGCGAAGTAATGCTACAAGACTGGGTGTCACCAAGTTCTGTTCTGAAACTAGACAGTCAGGAATTAGCTGGAGTTGATTGCTTCTCGTACTTATGTAGCTGCGTGATCAACGACGGTAACGCATTGTAGGAGATAACCGCCCGCATTTCCAGGGCTCGAGCAGCGTACGCAGGACCAAAACACCTGTGGCGGCGACGTGACGTGTCACTAAAGTGGAAAAGTCGCGTATACTGCGCCACTGTATGATCAGTTCTGCTTTACGGTTNATTGGCGGGTAGAAGACAACCGTCGTTTGGCAGTGTTCGTCAATCGATGCTTACGTAGTTTGGCCCAAGTGGGATGGAGTGAGCGGGTTAGTAACTGAGAAGTAAGTCGTCGGGTGTTTGGGAATACATCAGACAAGAACTCGCTATCTCATCGAATCCATTTCAGTAGGCTCCGTTGGTTGGGACACGTTTTGTGTATGTCCGACGGTCGCCTACCGCAGCGCACCTTGTTTGCAGTGGCTGTTACAGGCTGGATAAAGCCACGTGGAGGCCAGCAGATGACCGGGAGACGAGGCATAGAGAAATGCACAGAGCGATTAGGTAGAGTAGGTGTCTCTGGTCTTCCGGGTTGGGATCCAAAAGACTCCGAAACCGCATGGTTGGAGACACTGAAGGTCAGGCAGCTGCGAACCGACAGCAATGGGGATCATGCTGTCACTTCTTATCAGACCAGATTGTTTGAACTAGTATGTATGCACAGTTGAGCTGTGTAATCTGTGTGTTGATCAGAGAGGTTCGCTTTCTTTTCCCGTCCCTAAAAATAGGCCCAATCCCTGTCCTTACACATTCTCACTTATCTTGTATGCATTATGAGTTTGGCAGCGACCAATGAAGTTTGCTTCACTTTATTACGCTGTACAATGATGAATGATGATGACCACTCATCCTTATGTCCAGTATGATAGCGCACATCAATTACTGGAAGTTTGAGGTACCAGTACGAGAACAATAATAAATCTTCCGAAAGGGTGCTGAGTGAATAATGCACTATTCCGACTGATACGCAGCACGGGAGGTTGGTGAACTCCAATTAGTGAAACAGTCTACGACAAGCTGTTCCCAATAAGACCAACGACTTGATCGCTGGACAGAATACTTCAGTGAACAGTTCAGCTGGTTTGCCACTAACCGGGTTGCATCATCCGCAACTGAAGCTCCTTGGGCAGTGTCGTGTGATCCTCCAACGGAAGGAGAAATTGGATCGTATATTCAGGCTCTGAGGTGAGGAAAGGCAGCAGGACCGGATGAGCTCCCTCCCACTCTTTTCAAGTGGGGTGGGATGATAACTTCGTTACCTCTAATACTACCTTACTGCGCAACATTTGGACGCAAGAACACATTCCTTCATCTTGGGGCGAGTCACTGATCGTTCGCATTTTCAAGGAAAGATCTCGTAACGATTGTGAAAACTACCGCGGGATCAGTTTGATCCCCATCGTCACCAAAGTGGTAGCTGCGGTTATAATTCGACGTGTGACGCCTTTAACAGAGACCTACATCCGTGAACAGCAAGCCGGATTCCGGCCTGGCCGTGGATGTATTGGTCAAATTTTTACGTTGCCACAAGTCCTTCAGCTGCGTCACACCCATCGTCGACCAAAGATCGCATTGTTCCTCGACCTGAAAGGAGCCTTCGACTCAGTTGACCGCGAAGCTCTGATGGGCTCCCTTCTTCGAAAAGGAATGCCCCAGAAGTATGTTAACCTACTGAGGTCGTTGTACTCGTACCCCTGGTCGATTAAGGGTCTATGATGAACTAATTAGGCCATTCGTCACTATCAGCGGCGTTCGTCAAGAATGTCTTCTTTCGCCGCTTCTGTTCAATTTCGTCGTGAACGACATACTGGAGGATGCACTCAGTAGTCTCCAAAACATAGGTATTGAATTGGGCACCTGGAGAAAAGCTGTACCATTTAAATTACGTCAATGACGTCGTCTGTCTGTTCGGATGTATCGAGTACGCGCAAAGCACACTTGATAGACTAACAAGTGCTGTTGCCACATTCGGAATGTGTTTTGCATCTTCAAAGTGCAAAGTGATGCTACAAGACTGGATTTCGCCTACTTTCGCTCTAAAACTAAATAGCCAGGATTTAGTTGTGGTGGATTACTTTTCCTACCTAGGTAGTTGCGTGACCATTGATGACAGCACAGCAAAGAAGATAGCCACCCGCATTTCCAGGACTCGAGCAACATACGCAGGATTGAAACATCTTTGGCGTATACGCGACGTTTCACTGTGGTTGAAAGGTATATTGTGCCAGCGTTCTTTTATTGCTGCTTTATGGCTGTGAGACCTTGGATTTGTGAGTAGAGGATATCCATCGACTAGAGGTTTTCGACTATCGTTGTTTACGTATTTTGGCCCAGGTTGGATGGAGGGAACGGGTTAGTAATGTAGAGGTGAGCTGTCGTGTGTTTGGTAGTTTATCAAGTATAAAGCTGCCAGCACACCGAATTCAGATTAGCAGACTTCGCTGGCTGGAACGCGTATTGCGTATGCCCAGCCATCATCTGCCATCATCATCATCATCATCATCATCGTACAGCGAGATACAGTGAAGTGAGCTTCACTGATCGCTGCCAAGCTCAAAATGTACACAAATCAAATGATAAAGCACAAGATGAAGAGGGATTGGGCCTACTTGGAGGGAGGCAAAGAAAAAGAACCTCTGTGTTCAACACACAGAGTACACAATCTAAGTGATCATAGATACCTTTTCAAGCATTCTGACTTGTTTAGAAATGACAACAAGAACACCAATGCTGTCGGTTAGTCGCCATATCCTTTTATGTCTCCAGCCAGCCAGTTGCAGAGTCTTTCAGACGCCAACCTGGAAGACGAGAGACACCGATTATACATAATCGCTCTGTGCATTTCCTCATGCCTCACGTCATTTGTTGACCTCCACGCGGTTTCGTTCAACCTGGAGCCGCAACTGCGAATAAGGCGCGGTGCGCAGACGATGGCTGGACATGCGCAATACGTGTCCTAACCAGCGAAGCCGACTAATCTGAATTCCATGGGATAACGAATTCTTCATCGAATCATTACCAAATACGCGACGCTTCACCTCAGAGTTGCTTACAAGCTCGCTCCATCCAACCCGCGCCAAACTACGTAAACACATGCAGTCGAATATTTCAAGACTATGAATATCTTCCACGCGCAAATTTAAGGTCTCGCAACCGTAGAGCAGAAGCGGCCGCACACTGGTGCAGTATACGCGACCTTTCAGTTTCAACGAAACGTCGCGTCTGCGCCAAAGGTGTTTCAATCCTGCTCGAGCCTTGGAAATGCGGGTGGTTACTTCATTGACTGTGCTACGTCATTTGAAACGCAGCTACTTAAGTAGGTGAAACATTCCACTACAGCTAATTCTTGACCATCAAACATCAGCGCTGGGGTAGACGACACCCACTCTTGTAGTGTCACTTTGCATTTTGAAAGTGCAAAGCGCATGCCCAAAGGAGATACAGAACTTTCTAGTCTGTCAAGAGCGCATCCT